CGCGCGCTACCACGCCTAGCTAATTTTTGATTTATTGTAGAGATGAGGTCTTGCCAAGTTGTCCAGGTGGGTCTCGAGCCCGTGGGCTCAGGCAATCCATTCACCTCAGCCTTCCAAAGGCACGAGATTACAGGCCGAGCCACCGAACCCAGCTTATTTTTTATTTTAAATATGTGGAGTACAATTTAGGGTTGGGTATACAAATGGGGTATGTCTTTTAAATCTCTTTTAGTCTACATAGGTTTTCCTTTTTTTCCTTAGTAGTTTGTTTATTGAAGAAGGTAGGTCATTTGACCCAAAGAACTCTTACTTTCTGTGTTTTCCTGGTTGCATTCTTAGTGTGTCATATAACAGGTTTCTCTGCCCCTCTTTTTTTTCCTGTAAAATAGTAATTAGAACTATAGGCTTGGTTAGGTAAAGGTTTGATTTTTTTTCTTTGAAGGGAGGTGTGTGTGGGAAAATGATGCTTATTAGATAGTGGTACTTGCTGCTGCATCACATTAGAAGGCATGCAATATCTAGTTGTCTATCTTGTGGCGATGCTAGTAGTGATCAGAGGGTTCAGAAATTGTGTCTTTTCTATCAGTTACAAAGTTTACATCAGCTCTTCACCTAATTGTTTTAACAAGCATTGATGATCTTCCACTCAGTGAATAGGTAGGGAAATAAAGTTTATTAGTTTTATTATAAAATACCTCATATATTCATACTGATAATTCCAAAACAGATTTGATAATAGAGAATTTTTACTTAGCCACATTGATCTTACATTTCTATCTCTTTTAAACTATGACAGAAATCTTTTCAGTAACACAAAATAATTACTCACTTGCTTTATTCCATGAAACAGCCATGATAGTCTCAGAATATAGTATCAAAGTCAGCAACAATATGAACATTTTTGTTTTTGTTTGTCCTATGGTTTATTCCACTAGAGGTGTCCAGTCAGTTTACTGTATTTTAAAGCCACCTCTGTGGTTATGCCACCAATTGTGGATATGCACATTTAGACTTACTGATTTTGTTTTGCTTTTGACTTTTAGGAATAACCTTTTCTTTTAAAATTTATTACTCCCTTATAACTGTAAAATGTTTGTGATTGCAAAGTCAAATTTATGAAATAAGGACTATTCAAAGAAGTCTAGCTTTTATTGCTACCCAATCCTTTCTTCTCTCATAGGTAACCATTCTTAGTTTTTAATTTTATATCTCATCTTTTCATTATTTTTCTTATTTTAAGTAATGTGTGTATATCATTTTATCACTCCTTTTCGTAGATACATGGTAGCATTCTATACATACTTTACTATATTTTGCCTTTTTCCCTTAATGTTGTATCCTAGAGATCACTCCATAGTGGTATATAAGCATCTTCTTCATTCCTTCCTGTAGCTTCCTGGTACTTTGTGCATATGTGTCATGGTTGTTCAACCAGACCCCTGTTGCTAGACATTTGGCTTATTTGCAGGCTTTTGGTGTTATACAAATTACTGCAGTGAATAGTCTTATACATCTGTTTTTTTGTTTTGTTTTTTTGAGTTGGAGTCTTACTCTGTCACCCAGACTGGAGTGCAGTGGCTGCTTCTGGCCATCGCAGCCTCGACCTGTTGGGCTCCGGCAGTCCTTCCGCCTCACCCTTTCAAGTAGCTGGAACATAGGCGCACGCTACCACGCCTGGTTAATTTTTGATTCATTGTAGAGATGAGGTCTCGCCAAGTTGCCCAGGCAAGTTTCGAACTCACGGTCTCAGGCAATCCACTCACCTCAGCCTTCCAAAGCACGAGATTATAGGCTGAGCCACTGATCCCGGCTTACATCTGTTTTTTTAATGTTTTTGCTGGGATATTGAGAAAGAGATCCCTAGAAGTAGAACTTCTAGTACAGGACAAATGTGTACAGTTTCACTAAACATTGCCATAATCCCCTCATAAGGGTTGTATGATTTTTGCATTTCTACCAGCACTTGTTTACAGTTTCACCAACACAGTATGTTATCAAACTTTTGGATTTTTGTGAATTTGATAGATAAGAAATGATATATCTAAATAGTTTAAAGTTATAATTATGATTATGAATGAACTTTTCTGGTGTTTAAGAGCCATTTGTATTTCTTTTTGTATATTTTACATATCTCAAGCTCATTTTTTTCTGTAGGATTGTTGTCTGTTCCCTTTAGTTTTAGAACTTCGTCATATGTTAAGTATATTAATCCTTTGTTTTGCTATAGATTGCAGTTGTTCCCATTTTTAACTTTTTTAAAGGTAATTTTTGTCTTGGTGATTTTTAACTGAATTTCCTAGTTAATAAATAAGCTGGAAATATGAGGAACCAAAATATTTTTAATGACCATGTTATCCTTCGATTGTATCCCATTCCACTTGATTTTTTAAATAAATTCTGCTCTGATTTTTCTATAGCTATTAAGTTTCCTATGTTATTAAGTCTGGGCCTTTAACTACTAACTGTAGTATGAAAAGCAGGTCTGCATATGTATGGCTTCTTTCACTGTTATATACTTGAAATATAGAGTTTCATAGCTAAATATTTAACAATTAAGTACTCTTTACAGAAAGTACAAAGTACACTAAGTTTTATTTAGAGAAGTAACCTGTGTTTGGCAACCTGTGTAGAGCCCAGGCATTTTACATGCTTACTGTCCTTAAGATAAAGCTATTTCAAGACTTTTTAAACTAAAATTACTCCTGGCAGCAAATCTTTTGCTAGTTTGTCTCCTCCTGTTTCCAACATCTCAGAGCTACAAGTAATCCTGGATCAATTCATTTAGCCTTGGCTCCCCTCCAGTGCTTCCTAGCTTGACATGGAGTAAACTGCTAAAAATTTCTGAGGTCACTGAGGACATCAGCTTATCTTCTCCTTTCCTTCTAAGATCTTATAATTTGGGAAACTGTTTCAGTTAGCCTTGGAAGTAGGAGAGTAATTCCTCTTTAGAGATAACATTTCTGTTGGTTTCCAGTCTTTTCTTCTGTTTTTAGTCAAATGTCTTAGGAATTGTTTTGAAGGATTGTTTTCCTCCTTTGATCCTTAAGATCATAGCTGCATTGACCCTCAAGCCAAGTATAGTCACCAGGAGTCCAGAGTAGTCAAACTAAGGCTACTATGTTGCATGACAATGAAACATCCAAATGAAGGATCTAGGAGGTTGCCAGATATATTGATTGAAGTTTGAAAGAGAGAAGGATTGAGAGTTCACATCTCAGCCGGTCTCGGTGACTCAGCCTGTAATTCCGCGTCTTGGGAGGCTGAGGTGAGTGGATTGCCTGAGCCCGCAGGTTGGAGACCTGCCTGGGCAACTTGGTGAGACCTCATCTCTACAATAAATCAAAAAATTAGCCAAGTGTGGTAGCACACGCTTGTAGTTCCAGCAACTTGGAAGGCTGAGGCGGAAGGATCGCCGGAGCCCAGCAGATCAAGGCTGCGGCGGCCGGGAGTGGCCACTGCACTTCAGTCTGGGTGACAGAGTGAGACTCCAACTTAAAAAACAAAAAACAAAAAAAAGAATTCACATCTCTACAAATCATAAAATCAGATAATTTTAAAGACATAAGAGACACTAGATAATTATTTAATCCATGATCATTGTCTATCTGAACTTTGAAGCTCAGAGAGATTGTTGGATTTGCCCAAGAGTACATAACTAGATATTGGAGTCATCAGCTGTAAGTTTGTAGTTGAGATGTAAGGGAAGATTCTCTGAAGGACAGTGTAAGTACAGTGGAACACTCAGGAATGTGAAGGAGGTAGAATCCCCAACAAAGGACACAAAATGAAGTAATTAGATGGCTAGCAGAAACATTAGGAGAACAGGATCACAAAGGCAAATGAAAGAACTGCAGTTAGTAGATAGTTAACCAAACCGTTTTACTTATAAGTCAGGAATGATAAAAGATCCTGAATTTGATCATTAGGAAAGTTTGGTAAATTTAAAGAGTACAATTTCTGCTGAGTGGGGGCAGAATGAATAAAAGAGGCAACAGTAAAGTTTGGCAAATGATTGGACATAACTGAGTAAGATGGTAGATGATGAGGGCTGCAGAATGAGTGGTAGCTTTACTTGGGAAGGTCATCCTTGTTTTTAGGTGTGAGGTGCAAGAACCAGTGTATGGGTGGGAGCAGGGAGAGGAGAAATTGAAAATACCAGGGAGGTAAAAATAAGTATAAACAGGAAGCACTAGGCTTCATTAATTATCCCCCACTTTCAATAGCTCATACTTACTGTTCAACTTACTATAGACTACTTATTGTTCTAGGTGTCTAAACATGTAATAACTCATTCAATTCCCAAAACTCTTTGGGGTTGGTATAACTGTTATCTCTATAAAAGAGGAAATTGAGGCATTGAAAGGCTAACTTACTTAAAGTCACATAACCAGCCAGTGGTACAACCAAAATTGAGGCCAAGTCTGACCCTTTGAGTCTGTCCTTTGAATCACCAACTTGTACTCTCTCTCTTCTAGTTGTAATTGTTGTTCAGAAATGTATTTAATGTTATTACAGAAGTAAACTTGAACGTTTTGGGCTTTAAAAATATTGTGTATTTTTTTGGATTCAATTATTATGTACTAATTACCCTTGAATAATAGCTCATAATGTAAATATTCTTCCATTTAGGTTGTGCATTATGTGTGACTCTTCCAATGAGCTTATTAAACTTTTTCAGGTAAGTATTTTATTTTATTTTTATATATTTATTTTTTGAGTTGGAGTCTCACTCTGTCTCCCAGGCTGGAATGCAATGGCAAACTCACGGCCACCCAGCATCAACCTGCTAGGCTCCAGCAATCCTTCCACCTCAGCCTTCCAAGAACTGGAACTACAGGCATGCGCTACCATGCCCGGCTATTTATTTATTTATTTTATTGTAGAGATGAGGTCTTGCTAAGTTGTCTGGGCTGGTCTTGAGCCCATAGGCTCAGGCAATCCACTCGTCTTGGCCTCCCAAAGTGCTAGGATTACAGACTGAGCCACCGAACCCGGTCAAGTATTTCATTTTTTAAATGGACAAGAAATATGAAAATTTTTGGTATTTGTTTTTCAGCTGACTTTAAGGATCTGTTTTCCTTTTGGAGTCTGAGCATTTTCAAAAGGTCATGAAACCTGTATTTTGAATCTGGAATGAGGTTTGGGATTACTTAGGGTTTCTGTGGTGGATAATGTAGTCAATTCAAACATGGCGCAGACTATTAGTTCTTTTGTTACAGTTTTGGGTTCACCAAACAGTCATCTAATTTGTTACTTTTTTTGAGTGAATCTATTCATTAGGAGGGAATATATCCCTGTTGAGTATTGATGCATTTGCATTCTGTTTTATAAACTGATTATCTGTAAGTTTAATTAGCAGGATCATAAAATTTCTGAATGTGTGTCGTTTAGGACCAAGCTGACTCTTCTGAAATATCACTTATATAGAAGTTCCTGTCTGGTTTGAGGGAGAAGGGAGTGCCCACGTGGAAGTTCATTTCTTTGATCTCTGCACATACTCACCTTTGTGCAGTCGCACTGAATTTACTTGTGTCCCAATATACTTTGCTCTTTCCCTTCTCAGTAATTTTGTTTCCAGTTTCCTCTGCTGCTGTTTCCTCTAGGCAAAACACTTTCTTGTACGTCCACTCCATCCTTTAGCTCTCAGATCTTTCTAGTGGAATCTTATTTATGTCAAGCCAAGCTCTATGAGTCTTCCCTACTTATTGGCAGCTCACATTCTTTTATAAAAACCATACAGTTTAAAGCTCTGAAGACTGGAGTCATTGCCTCCTCATTTTGTAGTGATGAGTTTGATTGGGTAACATATTGCCCAAGGTCATATGATCAATGACAGAACCAGGACTGGAATTTGAGGCTCTGTTCAGATGAGCAGACATATACTGGATTACCTCCTATATGCTTAGAGACACCACAGTATGGTGTGGGCAGTCTCACTCAGACTTTCATGTGAGTTACATCTCACTCTAAGTTCTCTATCACTTTGTATCAAAGCAGCACTGTGAGGTACTCCTAGTATTTCATGTTTATCTTCTTTCCCCTATTAGAATAGCTCATAGAACAAAAGATCAAGTTTTATCAGTCTTTGTATTCCTAACACAGTGGTTGACAGTCTGATTTAAAGAGGAAAAAAAATGGGACTGGAGATCAGAAGACTTTAGTTCTAATCCTAGCCCTCCCACTTGGTTGCAAGTTACATTTAAATTATTTAATTTAAATTATCTTCTCTTACCCTGTCTGTAAAATGGGGTTAATGTTGGTTCTGTCTATGCCATAGGATTATTGTGCATATAAAATGAGAGAATAAATGTGAAAGTGCTTTGGAAACTACAGAATACTATACAAGTTTTATATGTAATAATCTTTGTATTACTTGATTTTTTTTTTCCAGAAGCTATAAAAATAACACCTTGAAACATAGTTCAGTCTATGAAACTATGGTTCCCTTCTTTTCTCCGTGTTTGCTGTTCATTTTGTCTACAGCATGGATACTCTGGTCACCTTCAGATATTTTAGAGTTACATCCTAGAATATTCTACTTCATGGTTGGAACAGCCTTTGCCAACATCACAGTAAGAGTTTTTTTCTTTAAAAAATTACAGTATGTATTAAGAATATATGACATTTGGAAAATTTTCTATAATATTAGAATAAACAGATCTTAAAGATACTTTATATAAGAAATGTGACAGAATAATTAATGGCCTCAAAGAGAGAACATTATTTCATCCTTTGAAATCAATAGGATTTGGAGACTGTAGTAGTATTTTGGAACCATAACATACTTAAATTTTTTGTTTTGGTTACCCACTGAAAAATGTATGTAATAATTTATAGATTCCCTTCAGACTCTGAATATTATTAATATCATGACTGAAATGACTGGAGCTTGAAAGGAATTTTTGAGAGACAGAAACCACACATACACTTTAAAAAAAAATCTGAGTCTTGCTCTGTCGCCCAGGCTGGAATGCAGTGGCACAATCAGTGCTCACTGTAGTCTCAACCTCCTGGGCTCAGGCAATCCTTCTGCCTCAGCCTCCCAAGTAGCTGAGACTACAGGAACACACCACCAAGCCCAGCTAATTTTTTGATTATTTTGTAGAAACCAGGTCTTGGTATGTTGCCCAGGCTGCTCTTGAACTCCTGGGCTCAAGAATTCCTCCTATCTTGGCCTCTCAAAGTGCTGGATTACAGGTATAAACCGCTGTACCCGGTCGTTTTTTAAAACTCAGTTGATTTTTAAATTAAGAATGTAGAATTTAAAAACATGTAATAAATATAACATATTTTAAAAAATTCCTTTTATGCAGTGAGCAAGAGTTTGATTTCAACAGACAGGAGTTGAGAAAAGACCCCGATAGTCTGACAGCCAGGAAACCTATGCTCTAGCTCAGGCCAGGGCCCTTAGAAGTTTTTATTTTTTAACTTAGCTGCCTAGTTTATGTTTTCATGTCTGTAATGTTGTGTAATATCCCAAGTCCTACTGATTTTACAGGATTTAAAGATCTGAAGACACTAGTACATTGTATAAAAAGTATTTCTGAAATAACAAAACTATGTTTGAGTGAGGTCTTGAAAATTAAGGGAACCAAAGAGGTTTTGAGATGTTAATTATGGCACTATGACTGAATTGAAGGTAGTACTTCCTCATCATTGCCTTAAAGAAATTTAGCTGTGTGGGGGTATAGGAGACTATTTTGAAATTTTTTTTACGTATCATAGAATCTTAAAATTGGGAGACATTTTAAAAATCTAAATTGTTGCCCAGTGGAAGAATGCCTTTCATAAATTAAATTAAATTAATTTATCTTCTGCCCTCTTCTGACTTGCACTGAGACTTCATGTGTTTGGGGATAGGGCCAGGGTTCTAGTTGGACCCTAACGATCGAGAACTTCTGAACTTAGGTAAGGTAAATGTGTTGGCTAAGGTACTTGACTGCTTTTAAATGTTGGAATGACTACTTTTAGGAAGTGCTTTACTAATTAAACTTTCTTTTCTTCCTTTTTTTTTTTTAAACTAACTTCAAGTGTCAACTGATTGTTTGCCAAATGAGTAGTACCCGGTGCCCAACTTTGAATTGGTTGCTGGTTCCTCTCTTCTTGGTTGTCTTGGTGGTAAACTTAGGAATAGCCTCTTACATTGAGAGCATTCTCCTGTATACATTAACAACTGCTTTCACTCTGGCCCATGTCCATTATGGAGTATGTGTGGTGAGTAATCTAAAACAAAATTGGTTCCATTTGGTTCTTAAAAATAGTAGAAAGGAAGTAATGGAAAATTTCCAGAGAAAGTTCTTAATTATAGCAGCTGTAAGAGTTTTGGGGTATTCTTTAAATTTTGGATAATAACCAGGTGTGTAATTTCAGATATTATTTCTCCAATGAATATGTTACTGTAACTACAAATGATTTTAAAGCTGAACAGTTATTATTTGGAACTAGTTCTTATTTTAAATGGGTATGTATGTAAGTTTTCTTGTTAGGTAGAACTGTGTACTGTTTTTTGCTTTTAATTATATGAGATCAGATAGTCCCATTTGTTGATTATCTAATTCTTCACTTGCTGCTTTAGCTTTAGGGACATTTTTATTGCTCATTAACGTAATTTGAAAAGAAACTAGAGCTGGTTTTGTAGTACTTTTTCCCTCCCCTGCCTAATTCAGTAAGCACTTGTGATGGCAGAGGTTAGACTTTCAGACTAAAGGAAAACTTGCATTATTTGAGGTTTTACTTCATCTGTGCTGTTCCTGAGCCCTCATCAGCAGAAATAGAAAATATAGAAGAAAATGGATTTAAGATATATTTTGCAAGCTATAAAATTTTCTCCTAAAATAAGAGACTAGTTTCAGAATGAGTAGATGAACATAGATACAATGAAATGAAACCAGATTCATGTGGCTTATTTTCTTTTTCCTCTCATTTTAACTTTCTTTTCTAATTATTTTACATAGTTTAGAATGGCCTCATAATTATGATTTTTAGTTGCTGTATAATATTTCACCAAGGAGATTATGCAATAATTACCCTACTTACTTAATCACAACTTATTTTAATCATTTGGGTTGTTTTCAGATTTTCACCATTATAAATAATGTTGTCATGAATACTCTGGAATAATATTATTTTAATTTTTTTATTTTCTGAGAATAATTTCATAGGATTGAGGTTGTAAAAGAATATTCACATTTTTATGACTCTTAAAATACTTCTATTTGATATATTTGTTTTGAAAGGAACCCTGCAATGAGTCAGTTTGAGAAGCAAAATGTCTTTATTTCTGTATTATTGTACACATTTTTAAAATGGAAAGGTACCTATCATGCTTGATTACAGCTTTGTACCTTGCATATGTTGCTAAACTTAGGCTTTCTTCCCTTAGTGTTTCTCCCCAAAGTAGCCCTCATTTGTTAGAATGAAATAGATGAAATTGTTATGGGGAAAAACCTGTAAGACATAATTATTATTTTTGTTGTTGTTGGGTTTTTTTTTTGAGTCGGAGTCTCACTCTGTCACCCAGGCTAGAGTGCAGTGGCAGTGGCATGCTCATGACTACTGCAGCCTCGACCTACTAGGCTCAAGTGATCTTTCCAACTCAGACTTCCAAGTAGCTGTAACTACAGACACATGCCACCACGTCCAGCTAATTAAAAAAAAAAATGTATTGTAGAGACAGGTCTTGCCAAGTTGCCCAGGCTGGTCTTAAATCCCTGGGCTCAGGCAATCCTCTTGTCTCAGCCTCCAAAAGTGCTGGAATTACAGGTGTGAGCCAACATGCGCAGACTATTTTTATTTTTATTTGTGCACAGTTAACATCTTGGGCCCTTATCCTGATAGTTCATCAATCATATACAAGATGTAGAACACAATTGCCAATGTCTTTTGTAATTGCTTTAATTTCTCATAGCCTTTTGAAAGTGAATCTTTAGAAAGCCATATATTTATATATATCAAATCATACCTAAATACATATTTCTTTAATTTACAAAGGCAGTACATTTTTATTGTTAAAAATCTGGAAAAAAAACCCACAAACTAATTGAAGCAAACTTTTATTTATTTTTTATTTTTATTTTTTACTTTTAATTTTTTTATTTTAAAGATGTGGGATACAATTCAGGGTTAGGTATACAAATGTTCATTATGCGGGTACCCTTGGAAGCAAACTTTTACGAGCATCTTTTTTTTTTTCTGTCTTTGTGCTATTTTACTTCTACAACTTCTGACCGAAGGTAAAACTTGCTAGGCTACACAAAGCATTCACTTGAACTATTAAAATAATAACAATAATAATAATAATAATAATAGATATCAAGTAATAAATATTGAGTCTAATTATAAATATAATTATTTGTTCTAGATATTGTAAATCAATTTTTCACAAATTTGGATGTGAATTTGTATGGTCTCGAAGATTTTGGAAAGGCTAGCTTTTGGGGCTAGGCAAGCCCAGGTTCAAGTCCTAACTTTCCCAGGGTAGTTCTGATACTCCCACTTAGCTATCTAGCTCTGTAGCTATCCTAATCCAGGAAGACCTCTTCACTATTTCTGAAGTTTTTCTATGTCTGTAAATTGTTGCAGAAGGTGAATTCTGTGTAGTTTAAAAAAATAATATACGTATTTGTCACTGTCTCATGTTCTGTTTTTTCATAGGTAAAGCAGCTGAGCAGCCATTTTGAAATTTACCCCTTCTCATTGAGGAAACCAAACTCAGATTGACTAGGAATGGAAGAAAAGAATATTGGCCTGTAATCTACAGAAAGAAGTGCTGTAAATAGATGCTTGTAAATACTTCATCCATCACCATTGAACTAAACTGATCTGCTTGACAGACATGGGATCTCAGTATGTATGGTACTTGGACAGCAGGAATGATACATATGATCTAAACTTGTGAAATTTTGGACCTATTAATTCCCAGCTTATTTTATTTTTTATAAAACTATGTGACATTTTGGTTAAGCATAATGTACATTAGACCAGCAAAATGTTTTTAGTCATTTTTGCTTCTTGAGTTCATAATGTTTTGGTTCATATACAGTTAAAGATGCATTGTTTTTATTTTTAAAATACCAAAATTGGTTTTGGAATACTGATAACATTCAGAAAAACACAATATGTTTTCATATTTGGTACTTTGTAACAATGGGAGTACTAGTGACCCAAATCTAATATAGGGAAATGATAAAACAAGTCACCTTTTACAAGAGATGCCAGTGACCACCAAACAACATGCAATTGCCAAATACTGGTTTCTCTTTCCCATGAAAATGCCTTTTGTCCTCACATGCTAAGAGAGCTAATGTATTTAGCTAATATGTACTTAGATTCTCTAGTATTCTGGCTCTTTTTGTTATGGAACAGATCTTGATAAATGATGTAATTTTCTTTTAATGAGAAATATTCTATTGAGAATCAGTAGAGAATGGATTGTAATTATAGCTCACCTGTTGGGGTGGTTCACTGTTTAAATGTGGCGTTTTTACCCCCTCAGCTGCAGGTTGCTGAGATTTGGTGCCTGAGAGCTGTAATTGTAAGAATGCATGTGATAGTTCCAGACTTATGATAATTACTTGTGAGGAATGCAGATAAAAGCATGTCATAAGAGAAACTTAAATTGGAGTTAGGAATCTCATGAACCTCACTACGACCAAAATTAGTTTTGTTATTCAATTTGCCCATCTGTCCTTCCTTTCTCTCTTTGTCTTTCTTGGTGGTGGGGTGCTGTATTTTTTATTTCATACAGGATAAAGCAGAGAGAAATTCTCTCTTCCCCAACTTGCCCGTTGCCCCATTTGAGGAAAACTTTTGATATATATGCCTTATTGAGTACATACTCCCTTTAATATGACTTGGAATAATTTCTGAGGTTTACTGACAAATATAAAAATTCTTTTAATGTGGTTGTTTTATAAATCACACTTTTTCATGATGTGGATATTTTATTCTATTTCTTTTTAACTTTGTCTTCATTTAATTTGGTGGTGGTGAAATTTACTTGCTGATTATCTTTTGTTTTTCACTGAATTGAAGTTTGTGCTTGAATGAAGAGTGTATCTTAAACCCTTTTTTTTTGGACAGGTTGCACTTGGATAAAATAGGCACCACTGTGTTGATATGTAATTAAATTCATAACCATTATTTATCTATGAATGTGACCATTGTTGAATTTAATTATAGTGTGTTTCTTTGTTGAATTTCAGTCTGCTGCTTTGTAAGAAATAACTATAATTGATATTTCATTTTTTAAATTTGTAAATTCTAATCATTGTCATTCAAGTTATTAGAAATGAGTCAAGGAGCTAGTTCATGGTTCTGTACTCATTTAAAAAAAATTATAGAAGTTGAGGTATGTTTGGTGACTTTCTCTGAGATAGAAACGAACACTGAAAATAGATGAGAAATCGATGCAGGAAAATGTAGATGGTGATTCCGTGTTTGTTAATAAATCACCATCATGTAGTTCAGAGAAGGAACCAATTAAGTGAAGGTAACTATTTTTTGTATATCTTGTTCTATGTGGTCTGTAAAATTGAACTGGATAAAGTATTAATTTGGGGTAGGGTTAAAAAAAAGCTTTGTGTTAAGATTTCTAAGCTTATTATTTTACTGTTTTATTGACCTTGTATCAAGAATGAGATGAATTTGTATTATATAAGAAAATAACTGATAAATATTTATAAAATGACAAATTTGGATCACAGGCTTTCTTCACCTTGTACAGTGTAGTAAAAAATACCCTTTACTTCTGGCATTAGGGTCATGTCTTATAATTTGGGGACTCTTTTACTTCAAATTGTTTTTCTGCCCCCTTTTTTTATATCAAGTTTATCTGAAGATGGTTTTGTGCCTGTACTTCATGACATATTTTCCCTGTGATGGTAAAGAATTATGCTATAGTCAGCTTTATTGACATCATTAAATGAAAGAAAGGTGGCCATCAATAAGGGAAAAGTGATACCGAGTGATTAACTGTTTCAGAATACTGTGGACTTGTGACTCTTTCGTGTACTGCTGACTCTTTTTCTTGTTTTATCTACCATCTTGAAAGCCCCCATTTGTTGTATAGAGATATAAGCAGCTGAAACAGGACTTAACTACAAATAGCTCTGTACATTTATGTCATGCCAATTACTGTAACATTTCCAAAGTATAAAAGGTATTTCAGGCTTATGCATGATATTTTGGGTGACTTTACACCCTGGCCTTTCTCCCCAGCATATACTGAGCTGCCTTTTGGGGAGCAGTGCTGTGGTCAGGAGCATACATGCATGTTTTCTGTACTTTCAGAATAGAGTGCCTTAGCCAGGCCAGAAGTTCACATTGTTTCTGCTGACCGAAGTTACATATACCTGTAAGAGATGTCTTTTATAGTAGCAGTTATAGTAATGTCCTTTCAGGCTTGTCAGAAAATAACTTCCCTATATTTGGGTGGGGGGGCAGAAATAGAAAAATTTTAACAATACCTGGAAAGAGTATGCTAATGCTGCTTTTTGTGATCCTTTAATAGTATTCATGATCTTAGTGCAGCGTACAGTTTGAAATTGCCACAGTTTAAAGTGTCATTCTTCCAAAAATAGGTAAGATGCAATTTATGGGTTTTAGTTTTAAGGGTAATAAAGTGAATAACTTCCAAATAAAAAACTAAATATTCTTCTTTGGGATTTTAATATCGTGATTAAAACATTTTTATTTCTAATTTTGAAAAGAAAGTTAAATGCTGATTGTGGTCTAGGATGTTATAGTACTAATACCAACATATTGTTTATTCTAATATAGAGGTATTGGGAAGAGGGGTGTGTGTGTCTAAGAATTACCCGAATTCTAAGTAGATACCAAAAGAATATTGATTGTGAGCTGGTGCCTAGGCATTGGGGGAATATACAAAGGAAAAAGCAGATATAGTATCCACTTTAAAGGGAAGAAGGGACCACCTTAATGCCCTATGAATTTGAAAGTTTCCTAAGTGTTTGGCTTTCAAAGAACCAGTTTATTTTGTAGTACATTCCAGAAGAGCATTTGAAATGTACCTTGCTTTCTCAAACACACTTTTACAGGATCTATGGAGAATGAAAATATAATCTGGAGGTGTTTGAATCAAAGGCTACTTTCTCCTTTATATCGTAGCTAGAAGCCTATCTGCAATTCTTTCCCTTCATCCTGAGTTTCCTCTTAACTAGCCACCTAGGACAGGGGCAGCCCACTCAGGTTTTGCTTTGTTGCCTCTAGATCTTGCCACGTTCAAATCCCCGCGATGGCCTTAGATCTCTTGACTAGTCAAGGACTGGGAACGTGCCAGAGGGAACAAAGTAAACTTGATGGGCTGGAACTTCTGACTTTGGGTGCCCCAAAAAGCCAAAAACAGATACAGAAATGTTTGATTATGTTGATAACCTGTGTTCAGAGTGGCCTTATCTTGATCTCAGTTCTGGACTTGATTAAGCACTCTATAAAAAGTTTGTGAAGTCAGACCAGAATTTTTCTTGTCTCATGAGGTGTCTTTGTAAGGCAGCATGCCCTTTCTTGAGCACCCCGTGAGTGAGCAGTAACCTTGTAAGTTAGCTGTTGGTACTAAAACCTTCCAGGAGGAATTTTAACTAGTAACCTACATTTGAAGCACTTTGATAGGTACATTCAAAGTTATAGTTTTAACAGTAAAATGGTGTTAATCACTGTGAAACTTGAAAGTGTGATGCTCTGCGCATTTTAGGAAGCTTAAGTAAATTTATTTTTCATTTATTAATTATGTAGCCTTTGCGATATGTGTATTTTAATTTCTATCTTTGGCAGTGGATAAATGACTGACATATTGGCAGGCAAATTACTTTGGGGCATATGGTTTATCATGGTAGTCTTTTTCTTTTCCAGAGAAAGTGGTGATATGCTTCTTCCTTGCATGAAGCTATGGAAATTGGATCTGTTGGCTAATTCCAGTGTTTCCGGTGTTTCTACAGTGCAAAATAAATGTAGCCTTTTAAACCTGCATGCTAGTATTATGCTTTGCTCTTTAGTAAGCAAATATGCAAGGGGTAGGAATCTAGCTTTTTGTTAAGTTTTTAAGCGGGGATCTGCTCATATGCAAGCAGATTTTAAGTGAGTTAATATCTAAGATATCAGAAGAAGTTTTGCCATTTGTAGCCCTTTCACAGGTATTCTGAGTGAGGGGGTGGTGCTGCATTTTCTCAGAAAGGCCAGGTTCCCAGAATTGGAAAGTGCCACGTGGACTGATTTTAGAATATTTTAACAAGAGCTTGTCCTAGGAAAATCCATTTAGGCGCAATGAAAGGATTGTTCTGGTATTTCACAGACCTTATACATTGTCTTACTCATCAAAGAATCATTCTTAGGAAGCTGGGCTAAGCTAGAGTAGTGATGTTTTTAAAGCATTTTGGATCACTGCCTTAGAGTACCTAAATGCTATGTTGAAAATAGTAACAGTGCTTGCTTCAGCAGCACATATACTAAAATAGAAATTATCGACAGTGTTGAAGACACAAGGAGTGGCTACATGCTGTGGTTATTTTATATCTCATGGACCAATATCTTCTCTGGAGCAGTTTGCATGGGTAACAATTAAAATAAGAATTGATTTTGAGTTTTTATTACGGCATACATACACATTTTGCCATGAAATCTAGATTCTGATTCTTAGACTAGATTCTAGATTCTTGAGAAGCACTTTTTAATATCTAAAGAGTAAGTTTTTGACCCGGAACATGTTTAGTTATTACCTGATATTAACTAACCAGGTCATAGAGGGAGCCTATTTAAATTTTGCAAGGTCTGTGAATGCTGTATTATAAATCTGATTGAATTACTGTTATCATTCAGTATCAGACTTTGAGTTTAATAATTGCTCATTGAGACTGCTTACAATATTAACATCTTTTGTAGTTTTGTTTTTTTTTTAAGTCAGAGTCTCAACTCTGTTGTACAGACTGGAGTACAGTGGCACGCTCATGGCTACCGCAGTCTCAATCTGCTGCACTCAGGCATGTAGCTGGAACTACAGGCACGCACCACCATCCCTGACTAATTTTCTGATTTATTGCAGAGATGAGGTCTTGCCAAGTTGCCCAGGCTGATCGCAAACCCTGGGCTCAGGCAGTCCCCTTGCTTCTGCCTCTCCAGAGTGCTAGGATGACAGGCATAAGCCACCATACCTGGCTTTGTAGGTTATTTTGTTTGGATAACTTAACACCATTAGACACCCATATAGATCAGGAGATAAGGACCCAGCTATGTGTAATGACTTGCCCGTTTCAAAATGTGCCAAGAAAGCAGAATTCAATATTGAACTCTAATATCAATTTTTTTAAAGTAGCATTTTCTCTGGGTACAGGGGAAGGCACTAATTGCAAGGTGTAAACTCCCTGCTGCCCGCCTTCTTCCTTCCATCTAACATAATACACCAAATTTGTAGCCAATTGTAGAAAAAGAAATTGATAGTTTTCTGAGTAAGGTTTCATGCCCTGTGACTAAGAATAAGTGGCAGAAATAATGGCCAAATCAATTATTGAGTTGTTTAGCTTGGTCCTGTTGCAGTTGGCTTTCTGTAGTATTCTGAAAGGAGAGGACGATTCCATTGCTTCTCAGGTATCTAGAAACATCACCCACCATTTGAGCAACTGGGATATGTTTGCTACAAATAGAACATGTTAGAGAGGAAGATGAATAGGAGCATAAACGGTTCTTTTCCCTTTCAAGTGGTATAATTGAACATATTAGTAACTGGTCTGTCTGGGACTTGCTGTGTTCATAGTAAATAAAGTAGTGTTTATCTGGTTATGTGTGCTATGTGTGTATATACATATTTAATATGTACACATCTATTCTCTGCATATGTATGTATGATATATTCGTATATACATGTAGTCTACTCTTGAGTATCTGCAAAATGGTCAGCCCTTAACAGTCTGTGTGGACTTAATCTGCATGTGGCCCATGACTCCGAAGCCTCTTCCTGATCTGGAGCCACAGTCTGTCTTCCAGTCATCTCAGTCCTAGAGAAAGGCCCCCCAAATATGTCATTTTCTTTGAACGAGGGATTGCGTGAACTAGAAAGACAGCTTTTGAGAAAGATGACTGTTTGCACCAGGGTTTAGGCTTTTGGGTCTGCATGATGCCGGACCTATTTCTTGTCTGAGGGCGGCTCTGGGAGCAGTTGTGCCCATGGTGTTGCTGGGGCAGAACTCTAAACTCTTGCAGAAACGGAGTTTCTCAACTTGCTTACTTAGCTGGAATGTTGTGAAGTCTCAGATAATTTGATGTACAAATAGAGCTATGCCAATGCATTTTATTGTTATGTTTGCCTTATCTGTATTACTGTTCCCCATTGTTATCCCCGATAATCAAGACCTGACTGTTTCTGGTCACTGGATTCTGGAAGCCTTGCCCTTTCAACTGGATTTATGTTTATTTCTGCTGCTGTGAAACCCAGAAGTAATGCAGTAGGTTTTAATTTAAAATTGTTTAATTCTATTATTGATAAGTATTTATTGTAATAAAAGTAAATAATTTTTAAATCCTTTTAATTGTTTTCAGATTGTCTTCTTTGTTTCTCCTTGGTAGATCCAAAAGGGGAGGGAGCTATGGGGAGAAAAATAACAGCCAGCTGCTTTTCTCAGAGAATCTTGATCATTTTAAAGCGAAACATTGAAGTTTTTTTGGGGGGGGGTTCTGGTTTTGTTTTTAGAAAGATCG